ACGCCTTGCTCGGGGACCGGGAGTCGCTTGATGCCTGACCTGAAGCTGAGGGAGAAAATCCCGTCACGGCAAAGACACGGAGAAGCTACAATCACTCAGTTGCAAGCAAGCCTTTAATGGATGGGCCTGTCTGTGAAAGGTCAGCTTCACCGCTTGCGCCCGGAGATGTCAGCAACCTGCAGCAGATTCCGATAGACCGAGTTCCAGAAGTTCACGTACCGCGTTTTCAGATTCTGCTTCACGGAGTCCTCACTCATCTTGTTGTTGATTTCCAGGTAGTAACCGCCCTCGCTGGTGTAGGGCGGCCAGTTAACGGGCACCTTGGAATTCCCTGTGTTGGGATCGCTGGGGAAAAACGACACACAGAAGTTCAGTTTGATCAGGGCAGCTTGTGGAGGCAGCAAGGTTGGAGCTGTCTGGCAGGGACCCCGTCTGCTCCAGTGAGGCTTGATGGGAGTGCAGAGAGAGAGTCTGGCATTGGGACAAGCAGCAGCACCTCTGCCTGCGAGGAGCGACTTGCCGACCTGCAGTCCTCCCCCCTGGTCACCGCTAGCGTGGTCCCTGGCTGCACGCAGGGGCTGAACTGCTGTCTGAAGAGCAGGATTCGGAAAGAAACCTCAGCAGTAAGCTCAAGCAGGGTTCACCAGCTCTGAAACTGCTTCTGCTGGCCCAGGATGAGGAGGATGATCAGGTGATCAGGTCCACTACTGTCTTCTTCATGACCTCCTGGTCTGGATTGTCGCCCCATGCTTGTGTGTAGACATTGTACGTCACATTGGCTCCACTCTCGCCCTTGTCCACAGTAAGTCCTTTGACCAAATTTTAGACTGGTCCCTGAAAAGACAAATAGTATCAAATCATTACAGACCGGCAGCTTCAAGTGGTGCAGGGCTCATGGAAATGCCTGCCAGTGGTCAGCCATTGGAATAGGCTGTCCAGGGAGGTGGTTCAATCCCCATCCCTGGAGGTGTTTAAAAAACATGTAGATGTGGCACTTTGGGATATGGTTTAGTAGGCACGGTGGTGTTGGATTGATGGTTGGACTTGATGACCTTAGAGGTCTTTTCCGACCTATGATTCTATGATTCTATGAAATGGATCCCAACTCCTGTTGACGTTCAGCTCCAATACCTTTCAGCTCCAATACCTTTCTTTAAAGCCATTGCCCCTTGTCCTATCACTACATGCCTTTGTAAAAAGTCCCTCTCCCGCTTTCTTGTAGGTCCCCTTTAGGTACTGGAAGGCCACAGTAAGGTCTCCCCAGAGCCTTCTCTTCTCCAGGCTGAAATGGAAGTTTGTGCTCCAGATTTCGGAAGAGAAGGGACCGTGTGAGCAAATGGTTGGTTTACCTTTGGCCCCACCTCCCTATGGATTTTGGAATTACATACTGGTACCATAAAAGACTCTTTTGACACTACTGAGGAAAGAAAATTTAGATTAAAAAACCTTGCAAAGCTCCATGCACGATGACAGAGGTCCCTGTGCCGTCTGACAGAACCCTTGGGCGGTTGGCTACTGATCAGTATGAAATGTTTCTGCAGCAGAAAAGGCTTCACCTTCTCTGGGTTTGCTCTGCTGTAATTACTGCAGCTCGGCAGGGTACAGGGACAAAGCAACATGGAAATGCAGCTAAGAGATTTTAATTTTGTTTAAATAAGGGCAGATAAAGGACTACAGTGAGAAAATGAAAGATGTTTTTTGTGGGAGATCTCACAGACTGTTCTTCTGGCAAACCCAAGGGCGTACAGTGATAGGACAAGGGGTAGTGGCTTTAAAGTGAAAGAGGGCAGAATTAGATGAGGTATAAGAAAGAAATTCTTTACTTTGAGGGTGGTGAGGCCCTGGCAAAGGTTGTCTGTGGCTGCCCCCTCCCTGGCAGTGTTCAAGGCCGGGTTGGACAGGGCTCTGAGTAGGCTCGTCTGGTGGAAGGTGTCCTTGCCCATGGCAGGGGAAGTGGAATGAGGTGGTCTATAAGGTCCCTTCTAATCCAAACTATTCGATGAGTCTATGAAAATACTGTGCCATGACTTCATCATGGAGCCTCGCTGGTGACCTTGGAAATAAAGCCAGCAGGCAAACACACTATCTGGCAGTGAGTGATTCCCTTCTGCAGGATGTAGTGTATGTTGTCCTCGCTACCTGATGCACGTCTCAGTCCTGTTCTGACTTTCCCAGTAGCTGGCAAGGACAGAAGGAAGCAGGCAATGGGGCAGAGCTTCAAGTCCACAGAACTCGGCCACTCTGGCCATCAGGCTGCCATTGCTGGCTGGATTGTTACCACCCAGTCACAGAAATGAAGGATCTGCTGGCATTTTCTGAGTCTTGTGCGTTCCCCAGTGTGTTACGAGTGCAAGGTTTCTCATTAGTGGCCGCTAAGACGCTCTAATGCATGGTTTAATGTGATTTCAGCCTCCCGCACTTGTGTGAGGCTTGTGAAGGCTTCAGCATTTTTTTTTTTGTTCTCCTAGAGTTTTGTTAGACTGAGATATTTTTTTCAGTTTGGCCTCCAGCCCACAGAAGCAACATCTGCAGGGCTCTCACACAGTGACGCCAGTCTGCCTCAGCCATGGTTTGGCCTCAGCCTCCTGAAGGACAGGTGTGTAGAGGCTCCCTTGGTTTACCTTAGTGCTAGGACAGGGTCATGGCATCGACACAAAGCTGCACGCCGAGCTATATATATGTCAGGCTCCGTGTGGGGAGTGGCTCCTCAGGGAGGCACTCACCATGGCTCGCTGGGGGATCGTGTGCTTTGCCTTGTGCTCCTGCCTTGGCACAGCATGGGCTGCAACCGTAAGTACAAAAGCACTTCTCGTGGCTTCGTGAGACATTTTGCCTGTTCCTGCCTGAATGAGCAAACTCCTGCTATGTCTGGTCTGGAGCCCATGAAGGAGGGCATGCAGACCATGACAGCCAAGGCAGGGTGTTTTCCTGCCCTAAACGTGGCAAAGGCCCTCACCAACATTATTCCAAAAGTTCCTGTACTGTTCTGTGTCAGGTCTGGCCTGGTTTACCTCTGAAGGCTGAAGGTCCTCATCTTCTGCCGTTCATGTTTGGGAGTGCAGGGGAGTTGCTGCTGCCTGTCTGCTCCAAAGGGCAGCCTACAGGACATCTACGCGGGCACATCTCCAGCGGCAGCTACCTGTGGCCTTCCCACAAGGGTCCAAAAGGGCGGCTGGGGAAAGGGGGCTGTGAGTGGGTCTATGGGGGGACCAGACAGGGCAGGGTGTGGATGTTGGCATGGGAAGCCAAAGGCATGAAGCACGGCATAATGGATTTTTCTCTTCTAAATGGTGTCACATGTAGCTGGGTGTGGTGCACACTGAGGGCGGTTTTGTGGAAGGCGAGAGTAAAAGACTGGGACTCTTTGGGGACTACGTTGACGTCTTCAAAGGGATCCCCTTTGCTGCGCCTACAAAGACTCTGGAAGACCCCCAGCCTCATCCTGGCTGGGACGGTAAGATCCAGCTTTTGAATGCCTTGGGTTTGGGGTTTTATTTTCATGTCTCTCTCTTTAATCCATTCTTGACAAGGCAAAGATGATGTTGCTTGCTTTCATCTACTAAGCAGCAACAAGAGAAGGCTCTTAGTCTTGTGGTGGGTATAAGAGCCTGTGTCTAAGTATTCCCAAACAACTCAAGTAACCCCATGAAGTAACAAGTCCGAAGCATGGCACCTGCATCTCCCCTCCCCATGCCTCAGCTATCCAGAGCTCATTCACATGGGAAAGGGTCGCACTTTGTCACTCCCTCAGACCAGTCACAGTGGCTGGAGAGGCTTTGGTGCCTCTCCACTGGACTTACAGAGGAGAGGATGGATGGGCAAGCAGCTTGCAACCAAAGGATGGAGTTGATGCCTCTAACTAGGTCCTGCTGCCTTCCCTCTCTCCTCTCAGGAACATTGGAGGCAAAAAAATTCAAAAATCGCTGCATGCAGATGACACTTACACAAACAGATGTCCGTGGGAGCGAGGACTGTCTCTATCTGAATATCTGGATCCCTCAAGGGAAGAAAGAGGGTATGTGCTTGGCAGAGTCCTGGGGAGAGATTCTCTGTTGCTTTTGGTGGACAAATTGCTCTGGAGCATCTTTCAGCATCCACATTCCCATAGTGGGCAACTGCAGGAGCACTGACTTTCAGAGGGAAAGGTGGGAGCCATGTCAACGGTTGTCCCTCAGCTGCAGCCTGTTGGGAGTTTCAGCCTCTTGTACAGAGCGTGGACATTCTTTGCCATGGGCTATTGCAAAGCATCATGTCTGTTCACGCCTAGGTGGAGCGATTCTCAGCGAGTGGGGATGGGGATGGATGGGCAGCACCTTCTAGCAATGTTGTGGCTCATGCTGCTTTTCTTCCTCATCTCCCAGTCTCTACCAACTTGCCAGTGATGATCTGGATCTACGGCGGTGCCTTCCTTATTGGGGGGAGCCAGGGAGCCAACTTCCTCAATAACTACCTCTATGACGGTGAGGAGATCGCTGTGCGGGGCAACGTGATCGTGGTGACCATCAACTATCGCCTGGGGCCCTTGGGCTTCCTGAGCACTGGAGACGCAAACTTGCCAGGTACCGTAGCTGCTCCCTCTTCGGGGGACCCTGTCGTGGGTCCACAGCTTATCAGCTCTGCTGTGCTCTTGCTCAATGGTGGGTGCTCTCTGTTGCTCAGGGAACTACGGGCTGAAGGACCAGCACATGGCTATTGCCTGGGTGAAGAGGAATATCAAAGCCTTTGGGGGTGACCCAGAAAACATCACCATCTTTGGGGAATCCGCCGGTGCCACCAGTGTCTCCCTGCAGGTGTGTTCTCCTTGCCAGACCCCACCAGAGTCAATTCTCTTCTCCGTCAAGAGGACAGATGGTCCCCTTGGCATTCCACCACTTTCCTTCACACACCCCACCTGATTAATGTCCTCTCCTGCCCCGGGACAGCAATGCTCAGCCTCTTTGCTTTGTAGCTGCCCGTCCTTCTTCAGTATGATCAGCCCCACTGCTGCAGGCACGTTTCCTTGCTTTTGGGACCTCTGGTGAAATATTGTTTACTTGCCATGTCCCCCTACTCTGCTCCCCTTGTCGCCATCTCTTCTTTTAAGTTTAACTGCTGAGACTGTTAAATAGCAGGAGAGCTGGCAGCTTCGCCGGGCCTGGTGCGCAAGCCATGAGGCGATGGGACAGGTCTGGCAGGCGATGGGCTCTTCAGGATTTTGTACCTGAAACCCTCTTGTTTCTATTTTGCACCGCAGACGTTGTCCCCAAAGAACAACGGCCTGTTCAAGAGAGCCATCAGCCAGAGCGGCGTCGGTCTCTGCAGCTGGGCCATCCAGAAGGACCCGCTCACCTGGGCTAAAAAGGTAACGTGCAAGTCTTGCTTGAGGGAATGGAAACACCAAGGAAGTGATTCTCTAGAGAAGAGCATAACTAGCAAGAGATTCAGCAGAAGCCATGCTGCCAAGCACAGAGCTTTGGAAACTCGCTGCTTTGGGATTAAAACCAACCTCTGCCTCTGTAGAAGCCGTTAATGAAGCCTGGCTTCGGAAGGAAGTGCTAAAGGGTTTCTCTATCTCTCCTCCACAGGTCGGAGAAAATGTGGGCTGCCCCACAGACAACACAACTGTCTTGGCCAACTGCCTGCGTGTCTCTGACCCCAAAGCTCTGACACTGGGCTACCACCTGGAGCTGACCAACCTGCCCAGTAAGCCCCCCAGGCCATGCTGTGGTGCCCTACCCAGCCAGAGCTCACCAGGCCTTTGACGGGACG